AACATTAGGGGTATTGATACATAAAAAAGCATTAAATGGCAAATTTACGTAGCTTAAAGTAATCCAATTTCTTGGCGCTGAAGATACACAATATGTGCATGTGTGTGAATGGAGCGAAACAAAAAACCGCGCTTCCATTCAGCGCCTGCGGTATAGTCTTTATCATTTGTTCAACAACTTAACTGTAAATGGCGCAATGCACGCCGCCGGGGCAAATAAATTTGCGCCGAAAACAGCATGGCGCGTTGGAGCCACGAATTACACTTATCTGCTAGTTCCGCAGTGGGGAAATGTATTCCAGTTGTCAGTGGCAATAAAACAATGTCAGGAGTTGAAAACGCTGCAAAGATAACTTGGATTTTATTAATTTGGTTTCGATGCAATCATCTAACCTCAAAATGTGCAGTGCGAGGCAAAATATTACTAGGAAATTTCTAAATACTAGCTTTAAACATTATCCAACTAACTTTCTTGTTTCTGAGAATTATTATAAACCAAATACTTCAATGAAATTTAATATTTGTTTAAAAATAAAAGAAACGCTAATAATGCACATTAGTGCCATCTAATGTCAAACTATAAAAGTATAATAATGATTAAATTGGTACATCAACTTTAATCCTTTATTTTACACCCTGTATGTTATATTTTTGCCACAAAAAGTTTCCTATTTTCTTGACCAAGTTCAAACCTATACATATAACGAATTTTATCAAAATTGGTTTAATGGTTTTTGTGTAAAAACGTCCCAAACCATCATAATATTCACATTTGCATTTATAATTATATTTGCATTAATTTCGATATGTCTATAATGTTCAATATTAAAATAAAGTTTAAATTGCATTACCAAAGACAATATTTTCGTAATTACTTTTCTCGTCGATAAATCGGCAGAAAATTGAAGATTACTGCGACATCAAACGCGTAAAATTACGTGTCGTATAATAAGACCCAATCAGATTAAAGTAAGCATTATATTTTTGGCGTTTTCCAATTTATCTAATACCACCGCGACCGACAGCACGCCGTGGAAGAGCAAAAAAAAAACCGATCAAGTAACTTTTGCCCTCCGGCGGCTCATCTCTTCGCCGCCGGTTGAAAATTCTTTCCCTCCCATCGACACCGCAAGCCGCAACCTACCACACCACAGCCTGCCAAGTCGCAAATTAAATTCGTGATGAGATTCTTGATAAACTTATTTTCTCTTCAACATACGCATCTCATATCCGCCGGAGTGAGCGAGTAGAAAAGCACACACTCATAAATTGCCATTGTAAATGAAATTTTATTAAAATGAGAAAATTCGAAGCGCCATTATTGCGACGTTGGTTTTTTATTCTTACAGATGCCTTTCTAAAAGCGTAAGGATGGTAGAAAACATTGAAGGCGAGAGAATTGTCGCGTGCGGCATTTTGGTTATGGGCACAAATGCAAACTCGTCGTTTTATTCAATCAACAAAGTCAAATTTGAAGAAAAGGCCGTTTTCCCGAGCAACAGGGAGAATTAAATGAACGACAGCGCCGACACGGCAAAGGGCGGCCGAGAAAAAGTTTGGCACTGTTGTATTTTTCGTGTTTGTTATTTCGTTAGATTAGATGGGAAAAGCGACGTGGCGAACAGGGCTTTGCCTGTTGCTGTCCGCGAGAATTTCCTACTGGGCGTCTACGATAATACTTGTATGGACAAAAGAGCAAAAGTAAGTGAAGTTTGCTTTTAACAAATTCATATCACATCCACTCGAACAACTTTGTCGAGCACCAAAACTCACGTTGCAGGATTAGTCAATTGATGCTAAGCGAAAAAGTATACAACAAGTTTATTTGAATTTTTCATGAATTTTTCACACATACATGTGAAGTATTTGATAAATACAATATTTAAAAATAAACGCGTCGGTTAAATTGAATTTAAACACGCGCGGATACAAAAAACATTAAATTACTACGTCGTTGTTAAAAGAAACAAAAACCCTAGGAGCTAAAACCCAGTTGAATTCAATAAAAGTTTGCGAAGAAAGTACGTTTTTTCGGGCCGCACTTCAAAACTTTCAGCATCTTGTTTGTCGCTCCCCGCATGGTCATATACAAAACGTAATATCTTAATATATAAATAATGCAAAGTGTAATGCAGATTTAACTTTTCTTGCCTTGTTGTTTTCGTTTCTTACTCCAAAGCGTTTTGCTGATTTGATTGCTTCCTTTTCGGCAGTAGAATAAACAACGCGTAAACAGTTCACGGGCAAATAAAACCGCCCTAGTTCTTAGTTAACGAAATAAAAGAAAACAAAGGCAAATTCACATATATTCAATTACAAAATAAGATATTTAGTTTCAATTTAGCCAAGAAAAACATTTTTTTATATTTTAAATCCCAATTTCTGTAGGATTAAATAAAGTAATACTGTTCTTTAAAATTTCTAATGAGACTAAATGGTAGTTTGTTTTAATCTAACATAAAACCGTTTTTTATAAAACCTTAACTTTTGCACACACATAAGATCGTAGGAAAATGTGAGAAGTTGAAATCTGCTGTCTATTGCAGAATCCAGCCGGTTTCCTGAGCATACACGCAATCAACCCGAGCTGAAATTGAAAAGCGCCGTTTTCCACTATGGAAAACCTTTGAAACTGCGCATTCAATTTGCATACAATAAAAATAGCCGTGTATGAACGCCTAACCACATTATACATTCAACTACGCCAGCTACTACTAAGTCCCATTCTTTGAAACGAAAATCTGGATCATTATAATTAATAACGGCATTCTTGGAAATTTTTAAGTACACATCATACATACGCTTTTTTTCACTTCCCACAAAAATGAAAACCTTTGTTAGTATGCCTTTTATTTCTTTCTTTCGCTGTTTTTGGGTATACAGCACCGGCTTTTTCATTTTGGCGAATGAATTCGCCGCTTTTATCTTGGTATCTAGCTTGTGCTTAGATTTGTATATACATTCAAATAAAATTTTATGCTTAATTAAAGCGATTCATCCTTGATGAGCGACCAGCATTCCTTCTTTACGTCTGCTTGCGTAAGAAAATAATTTTCTTTGCCAAACATATATAATATTGCCGGTATTTATAACCCGCGACTTCGAAGCTCAGACAAAAACCGTTTTAATGCTTTGCTCGTTTTATAATTTCGAATCTCGAAATTCCGCTGCGCCAACAAATGGGAAATTTTTCATGTGGAACATCTCAATCATCCAAACTTCAAACCACCAGTATTCATGCCTTGGATTATGTTTTCAGAATAATGAGTTCCAACCTTAAACTTATATAATGAACATATGCGTTGTAGATCCATCCTAGCTAAATAAATATTAATATTAATATGCAAAATTTAAACTGAAGTATGTTTAGAAAAGTTTTGTACAAGTGCAGAATTTATTTTAAACTTTCACATAGTACCGCAATGCTTTTGACAAACTTCTCAAAGTAGTTTCGTTAAAATTTCACATGACATTTACCGGCAAACTGTCACTCATTTAAAATAAATGGCAAGTTTTTTTTCAGTTATGAATTCAGACTCATTTCAACACATTTGTTTAGGTCATTAAAATTTAGAACAACTTTATTTAGTTTTATATAGATTTTATTTGCTTTAATTATTATTAAATTTTTAATAATTATTTATTTAGTCAAAAAATGCGGCAAAAAATATTAAATTCTAAAATTTGTTTGAATTTATTATTCATACTAAGTAAATAATATTCAGTAGTGGCTTTAATCTTTAATTAACGCCAGTTTTTTTTAAGATAACACTGGTCTACACAAAATTTTCCATTAAATACAAATTATAAAAAAAAACCTGAAGCCTGAACGACTTTCTAAGAAGACTAATCTTGGTCTTAGCTTTTTTCTATCCGGTTTAGTTATTTTAATTTTGGATTTATATTTACTTAACATTCTGTACGGTTAATTGGATTGAAGGAGCAGTGAATTATATTGCATGACGTTAGATTTCTTTCCTCGAAGTCTAGGTGCAGTGTCAGATAAACAAGGTAAAAGGTTACGAGAGAACATATTGCTTATAGAAAGAAGGCACATAAACAGAAAATTGCAAGAAGCAATATTTGTTGGTGCATTTGCCGTAAAACATCAAAGAAAACTAAAAAAGAAAAAAAAATACAAAATCCATATCACAAATATTCATTATAAAATAGTTTTAATGTACCTCAATTATCAATTAATAAATTTTTTACTTGAATTTTATGTAAAAAAAAGATTTATTAAATTCATTATAAAAAATCTTGACCTAATTAATTTTTTTCCAATTCAGAAGCCTTCAAACTACAATAGAACTCAAGAGAGTACAAAAAATTATTTTTGCCGACCAGTGTAATTTACCAACTTTATTATTAATGAATAAACTTGCTGGGCCAAAGTAAATTACGAAATAAAATTAATGAAAACAACTTTTAAACTAATTTCCCTCAAATAGTATTAGAATTTTTTGTTAAAGCCGAGTTTTTTTGGGTAAGCTCTCCGTAAGTGGGTAGGATATCTTTGGGCGAGTCTGGAAATACGTTTAATCTTGAAATGTGTGTATTTAAGACGACGCCGGTCCGTCCAAACGCGCAGTGACGCCATATCCAGATGTATATGTCGAGCAACCTTTTTTAATTGGAAATTTCCCTTTTAAAATACACGACGGAACTCCTCACAGCACAAACACACGCGGTATCGTCGAGGAGCCAACATTATACAGACGCAGTTGTTGCCTGCAGCAACAACACAACAAACAAACAACAAACTCCGCGAGGGGAGTAAACACGCCACGCGTCCCTGACGAATTTTAATGAGTTTAACGCTATAATTGTTGTGACGCAGAGGTACATATCCCGAGGACCAAAGGATCGCCAGTCAAAAATCCTAATGAAAATAATCGTTTCAGCCGTAGATGGGTCCCACCCTCGTTGTAGTTAAATAAAATGAACGAAAGTGTCAACGCGGCGCTTTTAAGATGAATGAATTAAGTGTGCATTACTCACATGATAAAAACGAAGCGGCACATTGTCGAGATGTCATTAGGGCAACGACGGCGTGTTCACATACAGACACTACACACTATATCGGACTCCATTAAAATTTCTGGCACATCGAGTTAAAAGTGGCCGGCGTCGACGTCGTCGTTGTCGCGGTCGTCGGCGTCGTCGGCGTCGTCGCGAGTCTGCTCGCCGCGGTTGTTGTCGGCACTCGGAATGGTATAGATAGACTAAAAATATAATGTGTGTGAAGGTACGATCTCGGACTAAATTTAAATTCTGTCATTTAGTCACTGGTATTCGTGTACGGGTGCACGTACGACGACACAACACACAACACACGCGCTGGGAAAATCTGTTACAGCAATTCCTTGAATCTTGCTTGCTCAACACACACTTTTTTGGCAAAACGATGAATTTTTCTTTGGTAGATAACGCCGAGAAAAATTACGCTAATTCGTTTATATTTAAAGTTTACCCGAAGCGCACCACTTATGTGTTTAGACTCGTTGAAGTTTTCGCGCACTCAATTTATACTTAAAACTTATACTTAAAACTTATCCTAAGTACTATTATATTATCATATTATGAACACTAAAGTAGTAAAGTTTAGACCAACTTTTTTCTTCCTTGAGTTATGCAACAAAGTTTGCCAAAATGCAGTTAACCACGATTCATATTTTCTTTAGGTTTGCTTTTGCTCTTTGTTGTAGATGCAGTTGCAGCTCGAAGACGCGCTTGCTTGTTTTCAATCCGCAATGATCGTATGATGTTCGCGAAGTTGTAACGATGATTTATTCGCACGCAACGCTGATCCTCGTGCGCGAGGCGAACGACGTCCGTTTTCCGACTAAAACGGTTTTGTCGGAGCGCGGCGATCGCGAGACCAGCGCTGGGATGCGGATGCTGTGTGCGGCGGAGGCTGGCGTCGCGACGCTTCGCACTCTCGCGCTGGTACTGACGCGGCGCCCGGTCCACGGCGAACTACTAGCATGCAGCCAGCGCGCAGATATAGAAACGTGGCGTACGGCGCATATCGCAATCGAAGATTATTTTCACCTCTGCGGAGAACATTCCATAGATTGGCAGTTATGTTGTGAATACATTCTTGTTATGTTTTTAACTTGCGAGTTTTGACTTTGGCTCGAATACTGCATATATTATTTACTTATTTATTCTCAGTTGTAAGCTAAATTTTATTATCATATAAATAAATTATTGCTCAGAGTTAAATTTACAGGAAATGGATTTTGAAATAAATGTCAATTGTAAATTTTCTAATTTATAAAATATAAGTAAATCACATAAACCTTAGCAGCGGGCATATTCTGAAATCATAAGAATATGAACCCAAAATGTTTAATTTTTTATATTTAAGGCTAGAAAAAAAAACTCCTTAAATCTTTTAAAATAAAAAAAAAATTCTCATGGTCATATTATAACATTAAAGACGCGTTATTGCGTGTATACCTGCTAAATACTCCCGGTATTGCCAATTCACCTTAAAAGTACTTTTATTTGAATTGAAAGAAAGAAACAAAATGCTTTTTAAACTACTTTTGATCGAAATCGATTTTAGTATTCAAGGGTCAATATTTCGCAAACTAAATAAGGCTAGAATAAAACATGCTTCAGATTCTTCAAATCTGAAGTATCCTCTTCAACATAGGTACTCAAAACATTCAAATTCGGTCTACTCAAACATGAAAAAGTGCTCTTTTCATTCTTCCATTTTTTACCAGCCAAAATCTCTTTTTTGTGTAATCCAATATCGCTCCATTTATGCAGAAGATACAGAGATGCAGACATTGGACTAGGCAAAGATTAAAAATACCTCAAATAAATAGCTGTAAAAATATTATAAGTATTTGAAACTTTTTGCCATTTTAAAAGTAGCAATGCATCATAAAAACTAAACAATCGTTGTTCAATATACTCGTAAACATAATATTATAAGTAAACACAATCAGCAATTCAATCAAAAATAACTATATAACACAACACAAATATAAATTATTAATTGTTATTGTACTAATCAATATTCTTGTTGATATAGTTTGGGATGTTGGCATCAATCGACCGATACCACAGTAACCACTAAGCTGTCAATTCGACCATTGCGCTTTACTCTCTATATATGATGACTTTGTAGATATGTACTGCCTAAGCGAAGATAAATAATAAACAGCATCTTAACATTACCCAACAGCATCACAACTAAACGCCGATATCATTACAAGACGAATTAAAGCACGCCCAGATGTGATGGCGTCGTGCTCTATGGAATACCACAACAAAGCGACAGCGGCGGTGGCGGCGATCCAATCCACTCCTTCACCCAATATTACTGCAGCGCGCATTAATGCTCGAAAACCAATACCGTGCGAAAATTATGTGCACGTTTGGCAGCGCGATTAGGCTCTATCGCACGAGTCGATGATTATATCTGCACGTAATGCGGGCGGGCAGTGGCGGATTACGGCCTAGGCGCACTAGGCGCGCGCCTAGGGCCCCGGCTGCCTGGGGGGCCCCGGCTGCCTGAGGGGCCCCTGGCACTTATATGTCCCATATAGACATAGTAATTCCACAAATACTTCATCAGTTGGTTTTGACCTCAGCCTTTATGAATAGCGTATTGGTTTTCACTTGGCGCCCAAAACGGCATTTCACACGTGTCCGCAAAGCAACGATGAGTTGAGGAATATTCCATTGAGGTTGTAAAATAGCGGGTAACTCTCTTTTTTGGAATATTAATTATTTCGTTTTTCTATCATTTTTTCACATCATTTTTTTATGGCTTAGATATCACAAACTGTAGGGGCCAATCTTATGATAACGCTGCTAACATGTCTGGCAAGTACAGTAGATTACAGGCACGCATAAAACAACATTCCAAATCAGCTGAATTCATACCATGTGGAAGTCATTCTTTAAATTTGGCTGGGAATACTGCAGCGGAATCTTGTTCTGGAGCATTACAGTATTTTATGTTTATGCAAAATATATATACTTTCTTTGCTGCATCAACAAGACGGTGGAATATTTTAACTGAATGCATGAAAGATAAGAATTCTAAAAGTATCAAGAGAATAATTGATACACGATGGTCCGCAAGAGCTGACGCTGTTTTAGCCCTAAGACTAAATTATCATGACATTTACCAATCCTTGATAAAGGTAACCACAGATTCCAATGAAAAACCAATTTCAAAATTAGAAGCAAAAAAATTATCAAAAGAGTTCGATCAATTTGACACGGCACTGTTAACAATTTTCTGGAACAAACTCCTACAGAGAATCGAAATTACCAGCAAATACTTACAGGAACCAAAGACAAATATTCTTAATAGTGTTAGTTTATTAAAATCATTAAACGAATTTATAACAGAGGTCAGAAATAATTTCGAAACTGTTGAAGAGGAGGCTAAATGAGACAAAGAAAACGCAAATATCCATATGATGAAACGAACAAAAATGATACCTACAACATTTTCGTCAAGAAATGTTTTTATTGTCAACATTTTTTATATTGTATGTGATGTATTAACATCAGAAATTACTCGAAGGGGCGATGTCTATATGAAAGTTCTTAACGATTTTAAAATGTTCTTTGATTTAAAATTAAGCCGTGTTGAGACTAATAATTGTGTAGAGCGATTATTGTCTTAAGTATGAAAAAGATATTGAGCCAGAATATTTCACTGATGAGTTAACTCATTTTCTAAAATACATACAAGAAGAAAATATTAAGGATCCACATGAAATGTATGCAACATTAAGTAATGGTCTAAAATCAACTTTTCCAAATATACACACAATACTGCAAATTTGACCTTGCCCGTTTCTAATGCAAGTGGAGAAAGGACAATTTCAGTTTTAAAACGAGTCAAAAACTATCTGCGCAATAGTCTTTCACAAGAGCACTTAAATGACTTCGCATTAATGTTCATAGAAAATGATATTTTTAAAAAACTAAAGTACGACAAAATTATTGAAATCTTTGCCCAAGAGAAGACAAGAAAAGAAAATTTGTAATTTGTATTTAAATACGATTACAGTTTTTGAGCACACGTACGATGAACTCGAGAACCAAGATAGCATTGAAAACGATAATCCCATCGCGGATAGTATGGCAGAAAATTTTACCTGTGATATTTCGATCGGTCCTGAAAACAATTAACGCACAACACCTGGTCCATCGCGAAGAGCGAATCGGAAGATAATCCATTAAATTTTGGAATAGTGCGTGTGGATTAAGCCTACTGGGGATACCACGATAAAAAAAAAAACGCGCCACGTACTCTACCACATGGTGGTGTGGAAATGAGTTTTTGGCACAAACTATTAATTTTACTGGGCTAATAACCGTTTTTGAAAATTTTCGGATTTAGGGGCCCCAAACTTGATTTGCGCCTAGGGCCCCATTGAAGCATAATCCGCCACTGCGGGCGGGCATCATCAGCGCTGAAACAAGATGCGAGGAGCGCTTCTCAATTGCCACACGAGATTGGCACTTTCACGAGCCTAAACTTTGAGTCGCATCAAGGGATTAGCATAATATACACACTTGTGTGATATAGAATATGCGCTGTTATATAATGGTAAATACGGTTTTGGCGTTTAATATAATAGCCAAGAAACTCGAGTTAGATTTCAGAGCAAATAAGATTACGAATTTCATGTTATTTAATAATTACTCAATTATCATATGTTTGGTTATGTAACTAAAGTCTAATATTTTCAAACTCGAACCAAAAAATGTAATTCAATGTAACGTATTAATAAAACGAAGTAAAATGTTATTTAATATCATGGGAAAAAAACGTGTTAGTTACGGCATCTATAACTCTAGAACGGCTAGACAGATTATGATTATCTATGATTTATTGGATTTGTCTCTACCCCAAATAGCAGAATAATTATTAAAATTACATAAATTTAGATCTAAAGAGATAAAAATTGACAAAAAGGCTCAATTAAAATTATAGTTAAGGAATTAAATCAGAGATGGCGCTAAATCACATTATTAGCATTTTTCTTTCCTTTAAAATAAAATCTCATTGGTAGAATCGACACGTACTAAATTTAAGAAACAAGAAAGTAAAAATTAATTAAAAATGTACTAAAATCTACGAGATCAAAGTTGTGAACAAAAGCTAGTCTTTAATAAATATAAATTTAAGTAAAATCTGCAATTCCTGTTTTAAATTGTTTCTTTAATAGTGTAGAGGCCAAACAAAATGATCAATTTTTCACATGAAGTAAAATGCGCGTAGTTTTGCCTGTGGGCACTGAAAAATGGCAAGAAATATCAGCGCCGACAAGAGAACATTCACGAATGCAGCGAACGCAACGGAATGTGCATAAGCTATGCACCAAACTGCATCGAAACGATTTATATTTCCGCGGCGCACTGTGCTTCGTGTTGTTGTTTCTCGTGGTGAATGCGTGGTGCTTTTTACGTGCGCCACCTCCGCCTCCGTTGTTGCCTCCTACAACAATCTCACGGATTCGCAAACTCCCGCCGCGCGCGCACCGCTCTGGTCTGCATTCGAATCGTATGCGCTGAATGTGATAAATTCTATACGTCGGTCTGTGAGCTGTTCTATTCTATACAATACGCCGAACGCAAAATGGCAGCGCCCGCCGGCGGCGACTGTTGGACCACTCTTTCGGGCTACGTCCCCGACGGCTCGCTTTAAAGGACGACGTCGACGGTCGACGCAACCACGTAATTGGAACACGCGACGTTTCATTAAATCCTATTTATCCTTATTCATTGACAGCGCGAAAAGTAACCGCGGGTAAAATCAAGTCGGCTTGTGATTTAAATCCGGCCTAATCGTTAATTAGTCGATTCATGCATGATGGTGAGACTTTTGTATACAAAATTTGTGCGTCCGTGCACAAACACAGGCGCGTGTGTAACAAACAATAAACGAGT